GTGGTTTCTTTTTTTGTATTTACATTTCATATTCTATTACTTTCCTCTTTCATCTCTTCTGGGAATAATGATTTTTTGCTAGCCTAGTTGATTCTTCTTAGGTTTGAACCAACTGTCCTGACGCTTTTGAATGAGTTTAATTTGCACTCCTACTTTTTCCTTTTGCCGATTCTTTGAAGATTGCAATCAACTCCTTTTTGCCTTCACTGTACATTTTCAAGTTATTGATTCACTTGCTACGTGGTATAAAATGAAGCTTACAAACGCAGTTTCTTTGGTTTCTAAGGTGCTTCTCACCCCCCACCCTCTTCAGTTCTCTGTTGTCCCAGCAATTCTAACTCTGCATTCACAATATCTTGGCCCATTAGCAGTTAGGATTTGTTTGGGCAAACTGAACTATATTTCCTTGCTCTAATGAAGCACACAAACTATAACAGCTATCTCCTCAGCAGGCTGCTCTTGCCAAAGAGGGCAGAGCAAATGGTGTTGTAGAGCAGGGAGCTAAGCTCTGAGGATTTAATGAACTTCAGGATACTGTCTATGCAGGACTGTGGCATTGGTGTGAAACTCAACGATTCGTTTCAGCTGGGTCAGCTGCTCCTGGCTGCACAGGGCTTTTCTGGCTTTTTGAATGGACAGCTTTACTCTCCTATATGGCTTTTGTTAAGTGGTTTAGTGACCTGGATTATGTATTTGACTGTGCTGCCTTGTTTTTGCACTTTCTGAAATGGAGAACTCACAGATCTTAGATGAAAGTCACAGAAAATCATTATTATAAACAGAAATAGGACCTAGAAGCTACCCCTAAGTTTCTTGAAACAAAGATGTGGAGTTGTGATGTTACATAGAATGTTCAGGAATGAGGCTTGGGCCGTTATGGTTACAGTGTGAGGTGGGGGGATTAAAGGTGTGGCTACAGGTCAAGTTGAGGAGCCAGAATTCTACCTGAATATGAAGTTTATAAAACAGCCAAATGGAGAGATGGTCTTTATTCTTCAAGTAAATGGGAACCCATTGAAGGCAATGTGACCTTATTTTTGTTTAGAAGGATAGAATGAATATGACTGAGTGAGCTGATATAAAACAACTTCCCAGGCTTTTACTTCAGCACAGAGCCATGTCAAAAAATATGAAAATGTAAATAACTACTCCAGGTTCAGAATCAAGAAATGGAAGTCCTCAGCTGTCAGGAATGAGGAGGGAACTCAGAGGCAGGGCAGTGAGCAGGAACTGACATTTAAATGGACCATGTGAGAAAGCAATAAACATTTAAGCTCCAAATGCTAGCAGTTAGAGTTCTAAGCCCATGGGAAGGCAGTTCAAACTGTACTCTGAGATCTGAGCTACATGCACCAAGCCAGGAGTTACAAACGGCTGCCGCGTAAGTTAAAAAGGGAACAGCAACTGCGCAGTGGCTCAGAGGTTTGATGACAAACTTGCCATATCTCTGGTGCCATCAGAAAAAGATCACCAAAGAGAAATTAGAACTTCAGGCTATTGCCACTGCAGATGTGAGGTCTGGATTTACACTATCTATATGATAGGGGAACCCAGTATTGAGAAATTAACATGAAAAATGTCTTGGAACAGGAGAAATGAGGAGGCCTCTGGCAGAGACATCTACAATCATCACATTGGTACTCTTCCTAAGAGAACTTGAATAGAAAATAATCCCCACTGAAGGTGAAGTCACACTAAAAAAAGTGTAAGGCCTGTGAGTAATGAAACAACACAGAGAATTAGGCCCAACAAATGGTAGAATGTAGGTTCCAAGAACTAGAAATTATAGAATAATCAGAAACATCAATTCAAGGACATTTAGGATGTTCAAAGAGCCAAAGGAAAGAAGACAATCATAGGAGTCTTGTATAAAATATTTTTATAAGAGCATTTTTCAAGTGCTCTTATAAAACTGTATAAGAGCATTTGAAAACAAGAGGCTTTCTAAAATTAGAACTGCAGTCATTTAAATAAAAAGCGAATGGGTTGAGCAATAGATCAAACAGTAAAAAGGGGTGAATTGGAGTATTAGTCTGAGGAAATGATGGAGAATTGAGTACAAAAGGGTAGAGATGGAAAATTTAAGAGAAGCTAAGAAAAAATGGAGGCTACATTAAGAAAACCCAACATATATCTAATAAAACTGTCAGAAGAGAAAATAAAAGATGAGAAAGAAGCAATATTCAAAGTGCAAATGGTGAGAGTATTGCAAAACTCAAGTGATTCCACATTAGTTCCTGAATATAATAAGTACATAACAAAATAAAAATACATAACCAAGACCTACAACTGTGAAACAGCCTAAAGAAAATTTTATAACCTTCTGGAGAGGAAGGCAAATACCTAACAAGGAAGGGCTGTTAGATAATACACTTGGCATCTGCAATAGGGCATGACATAAGACAGTGAAATGTCTTCAAGGTACAGAGGAAAATAATTGTCAGTATAAAATACTATACGCAGGAAAAAATAAAAGAATAAACAGTGACAAACTATGAATTAAAAAGTATGAGTATTTACAACTCTGACTTCACAGTTTAAAAGTGTCCTTGAGAAAGAAGAAAATTAAATACAGAAAAGAATGATGAAATAAGAAAGCTATAAAAAACAAATGCAAGTGAAAGCAATATTAAAACATCTAACAATGGGTATTTAAGAAAAAAGACACAAAACAGTGATAACAAGGGACTTGGGTTGGGAGGGGGAGAGAATTGAGTCCTTGGGTTACTTGGTAAAACATTAAAGATACTAATGAAATCTAGACTCATTAAAATTAAGATGCTATGTGAAACTTTAAGGGTAGGTATTACGAGAAAAGAAGTGGAATGCATAATTTGGCAGAAAAATAAAATATAGCAGATAAAATGAAAAGGAATAAGGAAAATGAGTAATTCAACAGAAGTGAGGTAAGAAAAAAATTCAAAACAAAAAGTAAGATGACAGTAATTAAACAGGTAAGTAATCACCGTAACTAAATGCTTTAAACATACCTTGCAAAAAGCAAAAAACCTTCATCGATAATTTATAAATCAGTAAGAAGTTAACAAGGTCACTAAAATGAAGTTCAATATATAAAAACTAACCGTATTTATGTAATATGTAATGGAAACAAAAATAAATTTTAAAGACCATTTACAATAGTATAAAAAAATCTAATACCAAGGAATGCCTCTAATAACAATGTACTGGATATCCGCACACATATATCTGCATATACAGATGGTCTCCAACTTAACAATGGTTTGACGTACGATTTTTCAACTTGACGGTGTGAAAGCAATACACATTCAGTAGGACCCGTAGTTCAAGGACTCATACAACCTTTCTGTTTCTCACTTTCAGTACAGTATTCAATACATTACATGAGATATTCAACACTTTATTATAAAGTCAGTTTTATGTTAGATGATTTTCCCAAATGGCCAATGTAAATGTTCTGAGCACTTTTAAGTTAGGCTAGGCTAAGCTATGATGTTCCGTAGGTTAGGTGTGTAAAATGCATTGCTGACTTATGACATTTTCAACTTGTGTTAAGTTTATCAACATACCTCCATTGAAATTTGAGGATTTATCCATCCTTTCAACTATCTATCTACCTGCCTACCTACCCACCCTCTTTCTGGCTACCTACACTATCTGTCTATCTGTATATATATGAACGGCCTACCTACCTACCCACCCTCTTTCTGGCTACCTACACTATCTGTCTATCTGTATATATATGAATGGCTATATAATATATATATATATGTATATATATATATGTGTATATATATATGTATATATATATATGTGTATATATATATGTATATGTATATATGTAGCTATCTATACATACATATATGTATGTAGTATATACACAGTATATGGACTAGAGTATATAGATCTATATAGTATATGGTATATGGATATATAGTATGTATATAGATATAGTGTGTGTGTGTATGTATATGTACACACACACACACACACACACACACACACATATATATATATATATATACACACATACTATATATGGATATATAGTATATACATGAAGGGGGAACTCAGTTTTGGCCAAAATGATCCATTTCTAAACAGAAAATACAATTACAGTAAAAGTTACATTATATTACGATATGTTCATTCCTAGTGTATTCATGCTTTTACTTGCATTTGTTTTTATAACACTCTTTATTCATCATTCTTTTCTGTATTTAATTTCCTTCTTTCTCAAGGACATGTTTGAACTGTGAAGTCAGAGTTGTGAAAACTCTATATACTACAGTGTATATGGATATATAATATATATGTAGTATATGGACTAGAACTATGCATCCCAATTTTTTGAGGCAAGAAAGAAGGGAGTGGGACTGGAGAAGGAAAAAGGGGGAACTCAGTTTAGGCCAAAATGCTTCATTTCTAAACAGAAAATAAAACTACAGTAAAAGTTATGTTATATTAAGATACGTTTATTTGTAGTTACAGGATTTTCTGTATTCAAGTGCATTTTAAACTTTTTAAAAATGCAGTTTAAAACAGGAAGGACAGCTAACCCTTACTGCAATGTGAGGATGAGAAAGGGGAAGGAGAAACTGGAATTAGAGGTACCACTTGGAAAATGGCTGTACTATCCCAAGCAAGAGATGGTGAAGGCATGAACCAGGGCGATGGCAGTGTGAGACTGGAACATGAATGCTAGAGACACTCAAGTGGTGGAATTATAAAACCCTGGTGATGGCCTGGATTAGGACACAGGGAAGTGAGCAGACTTGGGATTCTGAGGTTTCTAAACCTGCTTTCTGAGAGAATGCTGTGCAATATGCTTTCTGAGATGTGAAAACCAGAAGAGGTGTGCATTTGGTATGGCAAAAATGGGGAGGAATGGAGGATGAAAATGTTACTTAAAACTTAAACTTGACATGGTAGTGCACACCTACAGTCCCAGCTGCTTGGGGGGCTGAGGTGGGAATTGCTTGAGCCCAGAAGGTTAAGGCTGTGGTGAGCTGTGTTTGCACCACTGCACTCCAGCCTGGGTGACAAAGCAAGACCCTGTCTCAAAACAAAAACAGCAAAAAACCCACTTAGGTCTGAGATATTATGGGAAACCCAGGTGGATGTTTCCATAAGACAATTGGAAATGCACATCTGATTTAGTAGATACTTAAGTGATGAAGCCATTTATGATTTCTTAAAAAAGAAAATGGAGTAAGAAATGATAATACATTTTCCATGTTTTTTCTAAAGCTATGAGATAATATTGTTATGTTGAATTTGATCCTGCCATTTTGATGCTGGCTGGTTGTTTTGCCCGTTAGTTGATGCAGTTTCTTCATACTGTTGATGGTCTTTACAATTTGGTGTGTTTTTGCAGTGGCTGGTGCTGGTTGTTTCTTTCTGCATAATCTATAATTAGATTACTTCTAGCATGAGTTAGTGTTAATTCATGTGAACTCCTTAAAAACAAAGGATTTACTTTATTTAGTTTCTTTCATTGTGTTTGCCACAGGCCACAGTAGGAACTTGGAATAGGGTTAATAAATGAAATAATGAAACTAATTATTCTTATTTCCTTGGTGTTTTTTTTTTATTTAAAAAGCTAGCTCTATGAAATACTATAGAATTCACATTACATACAAGTCACTCATTTGAAGTACACAATTCAGTGGTTTTTGGTGAATTCCCAAAGTTCTGCAACCATCACTGCCATCGACCTTAGACGATTTCCGTCACCCCAAAGAGAAACCCTGTGCCCACTGGATGTGACCCCCAACACTGCCTCCCATTAATTTTCCACTCCAGCACTAGTTAACCATTCATTTATTTTCTTTCACTGTAGATTTGTCTATTCTAGATATTTTTTTATAGATAGAATCATGCAGTATGTGGTTTTGTGTGTGTGTGTGTGGTTGGCTGCCTTCACTTAGCATAATGTTTTCAAGGTTTCTTCATGGATTGCTTCCACTTTTTGGCTGTGAATAATACTGTTATGAACATTCATGTGCAACTTTTGTGTGGACCTATATTTTTCTCTTGAGTGTAAACGTAGGAAAGGAATTGCTTGGTCTATGGTAACTCTGTGTTTAACCATTGAGGACTGCCTGGCTGTTTTCCAGAGAGGCTATACCATGTTACATTTTCACCAGCAGCATAGAGGGTTTCAATGTCTCTAAAGCCTCTCTAGTACCTGTTATTATCTGACTTTTTGATAATAGCATTCCAGTGAATGTGAAGTGCTATCTCCTTGTGCAGGTTTGCTTTTCCCTGATGGCCATCATGTTGAACATCTTGAGCCTATTGGTCATTTGTGTGTCTTCTTTGGAGAACTATCAGCTCTTTTGCTCATTTTAAAAACTTGGGTTATTTGTCTTTATATTGTTGTAATAATTATTTATGTATTCTATATACAGTTCTCTTATAAGGTACATGATTTGCAAAAATCTCTTATTCTGTTTGTTTTCTTTTCACTTTCTTGGCGGTGTCCTTTGAAGTACAAAATTTTGATGATATTCACTCTATTTTTCTTTTGCTGCTGGTACTTTTGGTATCATATCTAAGAAATTGTTGTCTAATCCAAGATCATACTCTCTTGATTATAAATACTTTTTGCTATTTTTGTTTTGTTTCATTATAGTCCTTTTTATGCATATAAACCTTTTCCTGTGCTATCCCTTTCTTTCTCTCTGTAATTATCTATCTTTAAATAAGATCTTTATGTATATAATGATTTGATCCTGTTTTTCTCGCTTAAAATTTTATAGTAAAATTTTTCCCATATTAATCAAAATATTTGGAAAATATTTATAAAACAGCTATAAATTCCACTATGTAATTTATATGCCATAATGTATTTAATTATTTTTATATTCCTGCATATTTATAAAGTATTTTCAATATTGTGGTATTATTAAGGGTTAATGAACACATGTTTAAATACATGTTGGTTCAAATACCTAAGTCTATGCCTCGAATAGGTTCTAGTTAAGAAATGGAATAGCTGGGTCCAAGAGCTTAAACATCTTTCTAGACTGCATGCAGATAGTTTTCTAGAAAGTTGTGTCAATTCACAGTCTCCTAGTAAGCACCTGTTTCATTATGTCCTTACCAGCACTGTATTATTTTTAATCAAGTAGTAACTGTGTGAACATTTCTCCTTGATGCCCAGCCCTCAGCATTTACGTAATGCTGAGACCTCAGCTGTCAATTCAGGATGATGCAGTTCTCCCAGGAAGCCATAAATTCCGACAAAGCTTTCACAGTAGTATTTCCATGACTTTTTTGTGACTTCAAAATTCACTTAAAAAGACATAAAACAATTACCAGATCATTAGCTGGCACTTTTTTAAAAGAACTTCAAAAGGAATCATCTCTGAGAGAGATGGCTGCTGAGCTGGTGTTTTATTTTGAAGGGCAGGGAGGGAGATGCCAATAGGAATAGTTGACAAAAATCAAAAATTTAAAGGCAAGCATTGGAGTTATGGAAGGAAATGAGTAGATCACCCTGCTCCCATATCTGGGTGATCTCCTTGAGGGCAGGGGTCCAGCTTACTCCTACAATGTGAGACGCTTAGTAGCACAGATTCCAGATGGGCAGATCAATGTTGGAATATAGGTGCTCCTATTTTCTGGCTGAGTGATCTCGGGTCTGCCTTAATTGTTCATCAAGCACTTAGCACAGCTAAGAGCCATTTTCCATGATTGTTCACTCTGTATCCCTAACTGGACAGCAAGCACTGGGGATGACCCAAAAAGGTACTCAATATAACTATTAAATGAGTAAGTTATACGAAAACTTTTAAAAAATTTACATGGAAGAAACGTTACAGTTTTTCATAGGATGAGCCACTCACAATCTTCTGTTTCAAATTAAGTCTTCTCATGTTTGAAATTTTCCTATGCTCTTATCCGCTTAGGTTTCTTCGGTAAGATTTTACTCTGAAATAAACCATTATATGTAGCCTGACATTTTTCTATTCTTGCAGGGATATGCATTGGTCTTTAGTTCTGTTATTTTAAATTATTTATTAGATAACAAATCACTTAGAGTCTGATTTAATCAAGAAGCACAGGATGAAGTGTAAAAGATCCAGTGTTTTTCTGATCTTCAGTTTTGTTGAAGGCTGCGAAAAGGTATCAATTAAGTGACCCTTCCAGATCAAGATTTTATGACTGATAAATTCCCCAGGCTTAGCACTTGTTAGAGAAAACATGCAAGTGAAAATATGAAGATTCTCTCTAACTAAATCTTTCCAATGAGTAGATGAGATCATGGATTTGAAAGTGCCTCAAGAAAAGTTTTATACATCTATAATGTTATTACTATTATTATTATCTTGTGATAACAGCACCAAAAATAAAGGACTTAAAATTGAGGCAAAGTGTTTTTTTTTTTAATCATTTCATAACATCTTATAGCTAGACAGACCATTAGAGATTTTGTGGTCCCAAGCTTTTACTTTTACATATGAAAATATGAATAAAGTTACTTAAGATTACATCATTTAAAACCAAAGTCCTGTTACTCTACATAAAACCAGTGGATCGGAAATGTTAATAATTTAAAATATTCTTAGATGGCTACATTATTTATCTCCACAATGCAAAGAAAATATAAATTCACATATTTCATGTATAGTGAGTTTGAGTGCATTTTAAATGTTATTATCCCAAGATAATTTTAAAAATCTGAAATAAGAAATTTCATTTGTAAATCTTTAGTGAAATCAGTTATTTAAGTGTTTAGAAAATGTTTTTGCTGCATAAGCAGGGCAAAGTTTAAATTCTCTAAGCTTACTGCAGTTTACCAAATAACGCTTTTCTTCAGAGAACTGCTTACAGGGAGGTACTGTCTTCACTGGAAGTTAAGTTACACTGAAATTAATAAAAGCTAATGAAGTCTTTTAGGAACGCCCTTTCTTTCCTGTGGGGTGCCATATTTAAAGTTAAGCTATGTCCCTTAAGCAAAACTTGAAGAAAGTTATTTCCTGGGAACCAGCATTTGCATTGCCTTGAGCTGTAAATGTCCTCTGTGCAAAGTATTGAGTGACATTTTGAATACACACAAAAAAGTACTAGGTTACAATTTTTTCTTTTTTGCAAATGTTACTTTGATCTTTAGGAGAAGCAGTTTCCCGTGCTCATTTTGTTGTTGTTTGTTCGTTTGAGACGAAGTTGCCTCTATTGCCCATACTGGAGTGCAATGGCACAATCTCAGCTCACGGCAACCTCCACCTCCCGGAGTTCAAGCGATTTTCCTGCCTCAGCCTGTCAAGTAGCTGGAATTACCGGCACCTGCCACCATACCTGGCTATTTTTTGTATTTTTAGTAGAGATGGAGTTTCACCATGTTGGCCTGTCTGGACTCTAACTCCTGGTAGGGCGCGGTGGTTCGCGCCTGTAATCCTAGCACTTTAGGAGGCTGAGGAGGGTGAATCATTAGAGGTCAGGAGTTCACTTTTTGATAATACTGTATCTAAAACACACTTCTCCTTTGTCCAACTCTATGTGGAAGAACTGAAGAGTGAAGAATGATGGTGTGAGAAATCTAAATCACTTAAGGGAGCTCTAGAATATACTGTATTTTATCATTATAATTGGAAGGGCAATTGGACAAGTGGTTGGAGATTGACATTTCTGCATTGTTTATCACTAACTTGAGAGGCATAGTCAGAAGGAGAATGGTGGAAATCGTCCATTGGGCACTATTCTTTATGCAATAGAGCAGGGTGCATAGAGATTCTGGGAAAAAAGCAAAGCAAAGAGGGAAGTAGAAAAAAAGGATGACTGTGCTGTTCTCAGGCTGCAGCGTATACTGCTATCCCTGCTTCCAAGACTTGAAATAACAATGAGCAGTGCAGAATATGTATTGCAGAAGTACTTGACGTCAGATAATCCTGCATAGTGGGAAAGTAAGATGATTCCTTTCCCCTTGTAAAAAGAAAAAGTGCTAGTTCTTCCAAAAGCCATACTCTGAGAGTATTATATAATTGTCATTTTAAATGATTTGAAATAATTTTAATTGGTACTTATCTGGAGACTATGTCACTTTTAATTTCACCAACTCTCTCAAAATGGCATAGTGAATTGCCTCTCATTGGCAGCTGTGAAAGTATGATAAGACAGGATGATGTATACCAATGATTTCTTCTTCAGAGGAATCCATCCAGAAGAATTGTCAAATTATTTTTAAAGGGCTGTAGTTCT